GGCTTTTGTTTTGGGACAAAGCCTAATTGTTACGGGCTGCATTGTGCGCCCCTAAATTTATATATTGAAGCCCTGGTGCCTATTGACTCAGAATGTGGCTATATTTAGAGGTAGATTGTTTAGAGGTCAGTTAAAATGAGGCCATGAGGGTGGGTCCTGATCTAGTTTGACTGGTGGCTTTAGATGAAGGAGAAATTTGAACACAGGGACACGCTGGGATATGTGTACAGAGAGGAAAGGCCAAGAGAGGACACAGTAGGAATTTGTTCATCTACAAGATCAGCCAGAGAGAGGCCACAGAGGAAACCAGTTCCCCAGCATCTTGATCTTATACTTCTGGCTTTCAGACTGAGCACATAAACTGATGTTGTTTAAACCATACTCTGCTGTGTTTTGTGGTGGCAGCTTTAGGAAATAAACACCAATATAAATATGAGCGGGACTGTTGGAACTGCAGCCTCTCCAAATGGTTTCTTTCTCTCATTCTTTGGAGTGAAAGTACAGTTAAGGTGGTTCTCTTAGGTTCTCATATTTGTGAATTACTTCAAAAGTTTACACAAACTACTCATCCAGAAGTTGAGGTAATACAAGTGCTACATAAGTTCTCTGTGTTGGCCTAAATTCTGCATTCTGATCAACATCCAGAAAAATGGGCACAAAGTGTATTTTGTGGTGACATGGTGCTCTTGTTGTTTTTGTACATGTGTGAGGGAAGCTGTTTTCACATCCACTTCCAGCCATGCCTGGGCCCTGGCCCAGGATGACACAGATCAACCAGTCAGTCTGGGAGCTTGGTGGTTTCATCCAAATTTTTTTGAGAGAGAAGAAAAAAAAAAAACCACAAAATAGAGAGTGGATGGGAAGTTTGGAAAAGGGATGGAAACTAGAACTGAGTTACAAGTACCAATTGCAAAAGAGGCCCAGAAGAATCTTCCCTCAGAATGAGAAGAGAATAAAAGGACTTAATTAACAATGTACCTGTGAAGTGGTTTAGCCATTAACCAGATTTTTCTAACCTAGATGGGCAAGTTAGGGATTTCAAAACCTACTCTGAGCTCACTCCTTCCCCAAGAAGTGGGGTGTCACTAATATGGGCCCATAGCAAATGAACACTAAGGACACATCAGCCACTGTGGCATTTCTCAATCAGAGGAATGATCAGATCACCATGCCTGTCACACAGTGACACCCATTTGAGGCAAATTCTACCAGCTTTTCCTGAAAAGGAAATTGTGAATTTTCACAAAGCACCCAAGACACACTGACACAGCTGGTATGATCCCAATCCAGGGCTCCCTCTAAAACCACACATGCAACCATTCCTTCATATTCCTTCAATGAAGCATTTCAAGGACTTGCGAATTAGACATTTCCTGTGGGCAAGTCTGTTGAATCTACTGAATTTCTACAAATATCACTGTCAAGCATCCCTGCCTGTCATCCACTACAGCGGTCCCCAATATAGATAAATCATTGCTTGCTTGCCCCCTGCTTGCCTCCTGCTACATGGCTCAGTTTCTATAATACCTAAAGTGTATTGTTATATATGATTTACATACCACAGAGCTAACTGAAAGCAAGAAAATACTTTCACTTTTTCTAGAAACTCCACGTAGAACAGGAACATTGTGATTTGTATGCAGGAATTAGGAATGACACTGGTTTTTTCAGATTTTAAAAACAATTTTCTTAAAATGTTCTGTTACAGTGAGATGAAGTTGTAGTATATATTTACCAGTGTAGTTCATTCTAAGATTGCGATCCTAGTTTTCATTACATGAAACAGAAACCTCAACTGAAGGAAAGGGATTTTATTTTATTTATTTAGTTATTTAGTTTTTATCTTTGGTACTGGGGATTGAAATCAGGACCTTACATTTTTGAGGCAGGCAGCGGCACCAATGAGCTAAATCCCCAGCCCAGGAGAGTGGATTTTAAACCGAAGGTAACAATTTTCAATTTCTTTTATGCATAATAAAAACAGGCAGATCTTGTTTTTTTTTCCACTATTCAAGAGAATCTTGGAGGGATTTTGGTTATTAAGTGTATGTTCTGTTGTCTTTACTGCTGTATTCTTATGCCTGCCTACTTAACCTACCCAGACTCTTTATGCTGACATAAATTGAATGACTCTACGAGCAGCCTAATGTCATATTTAAGTCCGTATCAATGTGCTTGTCTATAAATTATACCTCTTTATGACTAATAGTCATAAAGTGTTTTCTGAGTTTTGCATAACCTTCCTATGGTCTGGAGGGACCCTCTACCCACTTTTAAATATATTTCTCTAAAAGGGCATATGAATCATTGGAGTTCATTATTTAAAATGTGGGTTTTACGGAAAGTACTTAAACATGAGAAGACAGTGTGTATTCTCTGATTTTTTGATTTGTTTCCTCAAACCCCAGGCAATGCAAGCCTACAGATCCCCTTAGTAGAAAGCACAGTCCATTAAACAAACAAGAAGTAGGGAATGGTTACATACACATAATAATTTCAACTCTTTCCTTTGAAAAAATATCAAGCATAATTCATAGTTTAATTTTAGAAGATCTCATTAAGCAACCAGGCAGATAAAACAGGTCCAGTTAGCTTCCTATTTCATGCTAGATAGCATTTAAATAAAACATTACAGTGGCCTTAAAGGGATTTTTCAAAACAAAAACCAAACCAGTCAAACATTCCAAAACCACTGATTATATAAAGAGAGGGGAAAAGAAACCAACAACCCAGAGTAAATGCTGTTCCCACAGGCAAATATTTTGGAATAGCTATGGTAGGGAAAGAACCAAAACAGACAAGACCCGTGGTCTTGCTGTGCTGCCAGTGCCTGGTTACCATGTTAGCATCTACCCCAAGTCCCTAAATTCCTGTTTTTCATTTATTAGTGATTCCAAGACTCAAAATACATCCTTGTTTCCCCATTGCATAACCATAACAATAAGAGAGCAGGACAGACTGCTTAATACAGTGAATAACACAGTCAGTTATTAAGTGAAAACCAAAAAGGGAACTGGTGCTTTCCTGTGGGCTCTAAATATATCTCATCCCCTTAATAATCCCTTATTCTCCCAAGAACACAGATTTGTGATAAAGAACAAATCACTGTTGCCACATTTAACACTTGTACATTTTATTGAATCAAATCAGCCATTGTACAACATTGCAGCTATGTATTGTTAGTGTTGTATTTTTTTCCGTTAACTATTACATGCCCTCATAGATATATTCAATTAGTGTTATCACCATGGGAACAAAATGCTGATTCATCAACTGAAAATTCACTTCTTCTCACAGTATTCAGTTTTTTGATAACACAGCAAAAATTAAAAAAAAATCAAAGGAAGGAGGATAACCATTATGTTGTTACACAGACATCATCTGCACTGCAAATTACACAACAGAAATGCTTGTCTTGGGTTCCAAGTGGAGGTTGTGACAGAAGGACCCTGGTGTGTGTCACAAAGGTCCACAGGGGCCTCTCTCCTTTTGGCTGCCAAAGAATGCTCTATTTCCTATCCAACTGCCAAAAAGTGCTAGCACTTGAGGATTAGGAGATTTGGCTTGTGGGAAACCTCCCCCCAGAACATTTTTTTCTCTTGGCAATATTACTTTAAATAATGAGGTGCCATTGTTTGTCGCACTGGTTGTTGACATTCGGAGCAATGAGTCATTTTTGCACAGGAAAAGACCAGATAGAATTGGGAGAAGTTCAATCCCTGGAGGACAGACTTTTTTAAAAATTTCATCTTCATTGAATATACTTTTCTTTAACAAATAACTGGTTCAAAATGTATACTGTTCACATGAATATATTTGTGAATATATATGTTAAAATGCTACACAGCTTCAATCACTAGAGGAATAAGAAATAGGACACTAAATCACTCAGATTGTTCTAGTTCTTCTTTGAAACAGAAAAGTGCACAAATGCACTTAAGAGTTTCCAAGGGAGTTGGATTTCAAATAAATAAATCAAAAATTTTAACCAAAAACCAAAACTTTCAAAGGGTTTCTCAGCTTTGTCTGAAAGCTGAAAAACAGATCTAGCTGGAAAGTGAAAAAGTTTTCACTCAGGGCAAAAAGAATGAAATCTATTACTGTGATGAGAAGAGGAGTTTGGACAGTGGGTTTGATTTTTTAACACCACATGCAGATATTATAGAAGATAAAAAGCTGGGGAGGGTGTGAAAAATAAAAAGAAACCACTCTGACAGGAATTTAACTTTTTTTTTTTCGTAGTGAGTAAATCCTGTTTGTGATGAATTTATCTATAGTGCAGTGGCAAGAAGAAAGTACCACCAGTAAGACAGCATGGTTTGCTAAAGCAGCAAGGGAAATTGGAAAAGTACAGTAGTTATAACTTTTAAAATACCCTGCCAACATGTCCAAAATCTAAAAGACCTGAAGATGCTAGAATGCCACAGGAAGTAGCTTCTTGTAACTGAATACCTCATTGTCTCAATCTCTTTGCTTTCTGCTCCCGTTTTCCTTCCCCAGAGAGTCACAGATGATGGCTGGCCAGCACCAGCTGTAGCTTTGTAGTGAGGATAGTTCTTCAGGATTGACTCTTCTTTAAATAGGAGCAATGGCTACTCTGGAAGTCCTAAGGACATGGTAGTTCTGCTGTGCTTCTTTTGCAGTAGAACTGTGTCGTTTAATTATTTGATTGTGTTAGCAATATCTTTATTAACCATTGTTCAGCAATTTCTAGAGACCTTTTTATTCCATGATGCCCAGTGTAGTTATGGTAGGCAGTGGTTTGATTTTAAATATTGTTTATCTGAGCATTTCAGCTGTCTACATTGTACATGGGTATCCTGAGGAAGGAATCCTCTGGGCTGTCACTGAAAGAGGTCTGCAGGTGAAGTTCTTGTAATTGATGGATTTCCATGGAGCATGAGCAAAAGCAAAGAACAATGGAGGTGGCCAGTTCCCAGGTTCCCGCAGACACACCAAGGAGTGGACACAGCATCCACAATGAGGGATGCTATCTTTGGTCACAAATTAGTTTATCATTAGAGAGAATGGGGAAAAACTAAAACAGAATGCTGTATGTTTGCTAACAGTGGAAATGTCAAGGGATCCCATTAATTGGGCCCATGAGATCACTCATCTAAGGAAATGGGATATTGCATATTGTATGAATGCATGGTTTCTAATGTGAGAATTGGGCAGCCCCTCATGTAGCCTCTTGCTTCAAGTCCTCCTGGTGGAAATGCCGAAGGAGTTGCTGGATATCACGCTGGAGGTCATCCTGGCCTAGGGCTTCTGGTACATCCTCCAGGTGCTCCAGGTCAACATGTTTCCCATGCTGGTCCTTCATCACAGCCCTCTTCTGTGTCTTGGCTTTACTCATTGTTGTCCTGAAGAAGAGTGGACAGGAGAGAATTATGCTTTCTTGACTGCTAAAAGGCAGCCTCTTGGGGTGAGGTTAACTGTGACATTAAAGTCCTTCCTGTCTTACTTTTAGATAGTTCTACACCAAGCTAACAGTGTAACAGCTACAGGGATCTGTTCATCTCTTCCTTTTAACACCACAACTGAAATGATTCATGAAACTTTGAGAGTGTATTTTGGAGCTGGGTGTGGTTGCATACACTTGTACTGCAAGCACTCTGGGAGCCTAGGGCAGGAGGATTATGAGTTTGAGCCCAGCCTGGGCAACTTAGTGAATTAGCAAGACTGTCTCAAAATTTAAAGAGGCCCGGGGATGTAGCTCAGTGTGAAGGCCCTGGGTTCAATCTCCAGTACTCGCCCTCCAAAAAAACTGTACGTTGGAAGAAGAAGTATTTTTTAAAAACCTTTAAGAAATGTTTCAAATACATGAAACCATGTTTTAATAATGATTCTCTCAAAATGAACGAATATAACCATTCATTTTTAAATAAGTTTTACTGATCTCAAAGACCCTGATTCATCCTGAAAGAGTGATTCCGTGAGCCCCTTTCAAAAGCGAAGATAAATCATTTTTAATTAAATCTACTCAAGGCCACCTTAGTTGCTTAATCCTTAGAGTCATCTCCTGGTCTCAAGTTCCCAGAGTGACAATCTGGGAGAACTTCTCCAAGAGGCACTTTCTTTACAAAGTGAAATATTATTCTACCATACAAGGGAATGTGACGATGACCAAGAGGCTCCTAAAGCTTCGTCTGGGAGTTGGGGAAGAAGAAGAAACAGAAGAAAATTCCTGAGAGACAAATGCATTCTTTGTATCCCACACTTTGCTTCTTCTGGGCATCACACTGCCTTTCAGCAGCCTGTGGTTTGCTTGCTTCCCTCATCAGAATGACGGCTCCTTTAGAAAAGATGCTATAACTCTGTTTATTGAGCCAGGCCAGGGTATTGTTGTTGTTGTTTGGGTACCAGGGATCAAACTCAGCCCTTGTCCTTACAAGGCAGGCGGCGAAACCACTGAGCTAATCCCTAGCCCATAACTGTTTACTGATTGATTTGTTTTTGTTGTTTTTTGAGGCAGAGTTCAAGCTGGACTTGAACTCACTATATAGTCCAGGTTGCCCCCAAACTCTTGATTCTCCTGCTTCAGCCTCTTAAATGCTGAGATTCCAGGTGTGCACCCAAGATGCTCTGGCTTACTACTGTTTCATACTATTAATTTCCTCTATCCCTACTTGAAGAAAAAAATCATATCCTAGTTTGTTCACTCTTAGTTTTTACTATCTACTTGTAAATATAACTACTCATTCCACAAACATTTGATGGATGTGTTTTATGTGCCAGGCACAATTATTATAACAAATAAGGAAACTCAACCTTATGAGAATTTAAGCAATATCACCCAAATAAAAAAAATTAAGCGTTAGCATGCAGTGGTGCCAAGAATCCAAGCTCCAGAGCCCGGGACCATAAGCACAGGACCCTGCATCTTCCCTGAAACTGGATGTGAGAAGGTCCATGTCTGGAGAGTGGCCAAATATTTTCCTTACGGTTCCTATTGTCCAGAAGCTCGAAGTCCTGCCCAACTCCCAACACCTCTAAGCGTTCTTTAAGTTCATCCCGAGTTAAGAGCTGACGCACTTCAGCCTGAATGCTCCCGTTTTGTTTCCTTCTCCCTTCTCTCCTGTTCTCTCACTCTCCTCGAATATAACATGAATTACTTTGGCAAATTACATTTGTCCCTTTCAGTGAAAGGGTCAAATATGATTCCAGTGCTGGAAATGAGGTTACATTTTTCTATATATGCAGCACCCATTCCCTTTTCTCCTGAGAAGGCAGATATCTGACTATTTCTGCCAAGAGCTAGGTGAAGCCTGACAGCACTGGTGCCAGGGAATGGGCCTCTACCGTAGGGCATTTCCTGTATTTTCTGCAGGTTATGAGGTGTGGTTAAAATACATGTTCAACTTTTAAAAATGTATGACAGTGGAACACATGCTGCCATTAGCCTCTCTCAGAAACTCCCTCATTTCAAACACAGCCCATCACTCTTGCCATCTCTGAAGCAATTCTGGAGTCCTCCTTCGTGAGTGGCTTTAGTTGCCCTGTCACGGCCGCCTTGATATACTGACTTGATTCTGAACAGTTCCCTTTGATGGTCATTCTGACTTCGACGAAGAGCCAAAAGTTACACGATGTTATATCCGATAAATAAGGTGAGTGAACACACACCATCATGTTTTCACAATGCTGTGTTTCTGTTGGATGGCACTTGCACTCACAGTATTTTTTTTATCACACCTCATAAAGACACTCACAAAAGAGAACTTCCAGAATTTCTTTAGGACATGGTATGAATTATGGGATAAGTATGTGTGAAGGGAGGGGAAATAATGGTGATATGTCTTTTTCTGCAATAACTTGAAAAATTTAAATATTAACCATTATGTTTTGGTCACCCCTTGCATACAGGTGAATGCTTATGAATGTGAACGTGTACATGATAAAATGCCTTTGGCAATGTGTAAGTTTCAGTGTGGCACAGCACAGAGTTCCGTGACAGACCAGCTGTGGGAACTCAATCAAACTATCTTCAAATTCAATAGGTGTAACAAAGAACTTTGCATTAATTAATCTCCAGATCTAGTCTCCAAATTGATTCTGTGATGTTAGGGCAGAGATTGTGTAGTTTCACCTGAATAACTAGATACAAGACTTAAAAGTTCAGAATATAAAAAGCATTTTATACTCAATTCATGTCTCATTTTTTAAATTTCCAAGATAGCAATTATACTCTTTTGAATTCATAGCTACTGCTGTTTTTACACTTGATTAGAGGCTTGAATGTGACAGAGCCTTTAGCTTTGCTGTTCTAATTATTATGTTCCAGAGGCTTAAAACAGCCTGGAGAGTACTACATGTGACAGTATTTCTCTTCTTTTCAATGAGATGAAAAGCAGAATAGTGACTAGGCATCCTGTTATGTCTTCCACTGAGAAGCTAAGAACATTTTATTGGTGCCAGTCCTTACAATACTGCCACAGGACCAGAGGGAAGCAGACCTCGGGACTGGTCCCGTACTGGTACCTCAAACCCATGATGGAGGCAGGGGCGGCTCAAAGCACATCTCTGCCTGCGCCCTTCAGTACGGAGAAAAAGAGACACCAGCTGCTTTAAATGCTTTCTTATTTTACCAAAACCCCTGGCTTCACAATCCCCATGTAAATCCAGGTCCATGTTCATGCTACGTGCCACTCACATGCAGAGTCACGAAACAGCTTGTGAAAAACAGAAAGCATGTACCATGCAAAGGAATGATTTGCTGAAAGGGAGCTGAATTTAGCTGGTCACAAAGTTAATTCCTGAGCAGTGGATTAGATTCCCCCTCCTCTGCTCTTTCAATCTGCCAACACAACAGGTTCCCAGCTGGGGGACTCCTACACTGGTGACTCTCAAAGGCCCAGGGAGTCCAACTGTGTGAGCTGTCACCTCACTGCATTTCTTTTACAGCCCCATCCACTGGGGCACTGCAAGTACGACATGCCAACAAAGCTACCACTGGATCACAGCCTTACGAGACGGGGTCAACAGTTTCTGAAGAGTTCTACAACCTGTGTCAGGGCTGTCTTTCTTTTGCTACAATGGGAAAGTTTTATGGTGTTAGTTGGCAGTGCATCATCCCATGCTGACCCAAACCTTTTGATTATTGATCCATCCTCTTTCAGGATTTCCTTCTCTACTAAACTGGGGAGGTGGATTTTCATGTGGCTACCTGTGTAACTCAAAGCCTGAGGTAAGAGAAAAAGAAAAGACAATACTAGTCACAATAGTCTTCAAAGTAATCTACCCCCTTGCTGGTTCAGAGCCAATCTGAAAAGACATCTGTGAAAGGATAAATAAAAAGAATTCCCAGTAGCTTATGTAGGTGTTCTTGTTAAACAAGTTTCTTAAAATTTCCCATTTGGCAAGGAAGATTTGCTATCTTACTTAGCAAATCTGCTAATGGACATCCATACCAACTGACTTTTCATTTCCTCCATCGGAGCATACTCCTTCCTACCCTGGACTCGCGGTGGTGAATACATTGACTGGGGACAAAAACAACCAAGGTCCAGCTCAGGGAATTCATCTTCTAACTATCCAAGGTTGTTGGCAGTCAAGATGGAAGGACTAAAAGTATTTAAATAAGATTTGCTTTTATCATCCAAGTACATTCATATACAATCTCAATATATGTTGTGAGTCTAGTAGAGGGATACACCTATAACATTTAATCCTGAAATGTTTCAATGGCAAAAACTATTTTGCAGGTGTTTCTACATGCTCATTCCCCCTTCATCAAAACTCTTGGGACCAGAGGTGATTCAGAATTTAGATTTTAGAAGTAGGCTGGATAGCCTAATATCCCAGAGGAGGTGAAGACCACATCCTGTAATCAAACTCAATTCATATCAGATAGCAAAACATATGTAATTTCACTCTAGTTCATATAAAATGCTATATCAAGTTTCATGCCAGTTTATGACAAGCCAAATTAACTTGCTACTAACTTGGAAAATTTGTTTTGGTTTTAGAATTTTTGGATTTTGGAATCATAGTAAGGGTCTGTAAATCTGCCATTGCAAACCCATTGCTTAATTGTTGAGAACCAGAACTCAATAACTACACATCACTTTAAAATATACAAATACAGAAAACATGTAAATTTTTAAATTGTCATAACAATATTGAGAGAATTAGCTAGGCAGGATAATTTGCACCATCTTTATTTCTTCCCATACTATTTGGGAGTGCAAAACATTTCAGGGACTTTTAAATAACATATAGGAACATGCCCTGACTCCAGAGATTATGATCTTAATTCACCAGAAGTAAATCCTGATCATGTGTATATTTAAGAGCATGAATGAACACGAACGAACACCATAGGTTGAGGAAACATTACTTCACTTTGGAAGTTAAGCAAACAGGAAATCTGCCCTCTTGAATTATTATGCACAATTCTATAAATTTGTGTATGAAATGGCATAATGATAAATAACTTTCAAACTCAAAAACAAATATAAAATACAAACCAAAAAGCAAAAAAGACAAAATGATGCTTTTATACCTCTTCAAAGTCATCTTTGGCTGAAGGAAGGTCAGTGGCTAAACTAGAATCCCCCAGATGTTTCTCCATCCTCTCTCCACAGACCATAGTGGTTTTAACAACTTTGCTGACTCTACGGCCTTCTACTGGTTCAGCCTGAAATTGTGAGGTACTGGACAGAATTCTGGGTTCAGACAAAGTCACCTAATGGATGAAGGACACACAATGCAGTTTCTGACTGCCAAAATGTAACAAATAATGAACTTCTCTATGCTAAAAAACAAAACAATTACAATATTGTCTAGTGAACATCTAAAAAAAAAGCATTATGGAGAAATGAAGCAGAGTTACAATAAAATAGTCAATTAGTGGTGTCTATTTAATGCATGTTTCTCCACAGCACCTAATGAACCAGTTAGTCACTTGAATAAAAAAATCTCAGTTTTGTAAGAACTGACAGCTCAGTGCAGTGTAGATGGGTAAGCTGTGACTGAACTCTCTTTTCCCATGTGTAAATGGTTTCATTTGCAGTATGGAGATACAGTTAACACCAAAGGATGAACTCAAAAAGGTATGAGAGGGCTGGGGATATCGCTCAATGGCACCACACCTGCTTTGCAAGCACAAGGTCCTGAGTCCCTGGTACCATAAAAAAAAAAAAAAAAAAAAAAAAAAACCATAAACAAATACGCCAGGACATTTCAGCCCAGATGCCTGGTAAAAAAAAAAAAAAAAAAAAAAAAAAAAAGGTAGGAGGAATTGGAAAGTAGATTTCTAGAGGACCTCCTGTTTTTAAAAATAAGATTTTTGAGGATAAAATGGCAAGAATCTCACAAACTACATGTCCAAAAAGTAAGCATGTCCCTGCAACTGGGAAATAAAACAAAGAAATAAACTGTGAATCAAAGAGTTTCTGGGTCCTGACTTTAGGGACCCCCAAAGGCAGAAGTTTGAATATCATGTACTTTTCAAATGATTTCAGAAGGCTGGTGTGCCAACCAGGTACAAGCACCAAATCTCTTCCTAACATATGCCCACCCAGCAAGGAGGATTTTATTTCTTAAAACTTTGACTTTCAGATATTTGCTGTGGTCAATCATGAATTAAACAGAAAATAGAAATGAGAATGAACAAACAATGAAAATAATGGCTACAAAGCTTCTTGAAGGCTATTTTCAAATTACGCAAAATTATGAAAAAAAACCAAATGCATGGGTAACTATAAGCAGACTGCAAGATCCATGGAAACAGACAACCTCTCCCAACTTGCTAAGTTCTCTTTTGCTCTCTGTGAAATAAGACTTGGAGAGCAGGCAGTCTCACCTCTGACTGCTCGGTGTCACTCTTCAGTACAACACGCTTTATCACTTTGGAGTAACCATCTCCATCCTCGGTGTTCACAGGCTCCTGTGGTGTCCCCTGTATTGTGATCTCCTCTTTCTCTGTGCCATCAGAGGACACATACCGTCTAATGATTTTTCTAGTAACCTAAAACATATTTATGTATCTGGTTGTTAAGTCAATATTATGATACTGATCGATTTTAAACAGGAAGTTTGAGAGAGCCATGAACAGAGACCCTAGACGGTACCTTCTTCACCACGGTGTGCCCATGTTCATCAACGTATTCTTCTTCGGTGACGCTCTCTGGGGGTATCTCAGGCATGTCATCTCCCTACAGTTGGGACAAAAGAGTCACATCAGTGCTTGGCCCCAATTCTAAGAGCCACTCCCATGTGCTTATCATGTGAGGAATGTTAGAAAACCCAAAGGTTATGTGGAGAAGCACTGTTTAGATGCAAAATCCCGATAAGTAGTTTAATAAAAGGAAGCAGGTGGGTGATGACATGCTTAGGAGAAGGTAATCAAAGTTAGGTAAAACTTAAAACAAATCAACAAACAAGGAAAACAGATAAGCAAAGGCGAAGAAGGTGGAACTGATGAAGCCAATCTTGTTCTCCCTTGTTGGTACTGTCTTGGTTGTAGGCTGCAACTACCATTAACACTGCATTTCTTTACGAAAAAAAAAAAAAAAGAGGAACGTTAAGGGGTCTGCTTTCTAGTGGCCATGCACTGCCTCAGGAACATGCCAAGCCTTTATCGCCCCAGGTCAATCACTCTAAAGGTGCAAGGACAGAACTGTCCCTGGCGTGCAGTAATTCAGCAGCTGGTACCTGGATGATCACTCGCCGGCGCACAACCCTGGTAGTTACCATTGCTTCCTCATCGGAGCTGGCCTCCAGCTCCCCTAATTCCTCTGTTAGCTCCTGGGGAAGGATGGAAGCATTTGTCTGTTTAACGTGCTAAGGAAGAATTTTACTACCGCTTCTAGCTTCAGTGTACATTGTGTTCTCAAAGTCCTATTCATGGAAGCTTTGAGGGAAAAAATCAGTGGGGGTTAAAATAAGGGTGGGGTGATCTGAAAGTTCAAGAAGAATTCAGTTGTTTGGTTCAGTAAATGAAAAAAATTCCAAAAGTTGTCAGAGGATCTCTCTGTCAAAATCTGTCCAAAGAAATGTCTTGTTTGCACAATTCCTGGTAATCAAACTCTTAATAAGTAACTAAACTTAAATAAAGCATAATGTGCAGCTCTGAGCTGTTAACATTAATGTTTAGGCTTGGAATTTTAATTTACCTGTGTAGGAATATCTCATACCTATCACAGGCCTTTCTACAGGAAATCTAAATTTCCTGTAGCTATTTCATAGTCAGTAGTACATCTCCCTAGTATCCAAAGAGGCAGGCTATGAATAATATCAGCCTCATTTTGCAAAGAAATTAAGATGTGAGAACAATCTGATTTAATAGGTTTGGCCCAAATCCAGAGATGAGGCTGAGAACATAATTTTAGATTAGAATATGTCTCAGAAATCATATATATAGAATCACTTTCTCCTCATAGAATATTTTTTAAAAAGAGAACAGACAAGTCATTTTGCTTAACATATTTTAAAATATCCAAGTTATACATAGTTCTACATTCTCTGTTAAAGAAAAATGTCCAAATCTAAACCAAATTGTACTTTAAATCAGGAAACTACTGCCTAGAAATAGGATCAGCAAGAGTAATTGAAATTGGATGGCTAAGTTAAGGTCACAAGAAGTTAAGGATCAAAGTGTGGAGCTTCTAAGAGATAAGTGGAAGTTCATCAAGAATAAGTTAAAACAAACTTATAGTAATTATATAGCATGCAGAATGACTTATCAAAACTTATTTATATGCAAAGAACAGATTAAATATATGAATTTTCCAGATAATTATTTCAAGACTTAATTATTTTACTTAGCCTATGGATTCCTGGGCTAAATTTGGCAACTTTTATCTGGGGATAGCAAACACGAATCATTTTTATTAGTATTCATTTAAGCCAAGAACTTGAGATGAATAATTCTGTAGAAAGACAAACTTGGTATAAAAATTCATTTGTGGGATGAATTTATTCTTTAAGGTAACTGCCAAAATCAGGATGCAGTTCTCATCTGCCTGAATCTTTCTTAATTTAGTTGTGATTTTAGATAAATCCTGGTAACAGATGTTACCCGTAGAGTGAATAAAAACAAATGTAGATCTTAATCATAAGGATGCACTGTATTACTTTTGTCCCCCAAAAGATTTCAATTCTTTCAGATAACAAATCTGTACTCTAAGCCTTGTATTATGTTTTTTACAAACACCTTTAAATATAAAATGTTTTTGAACTCTATTACTTTTTTAAAAGGAAGACAATCACTATTTTAACTTGTAATTAAAGTCTAATTCTAATAGATTTTCATCCATCTTTGTACATGAGAGTTATTGAAAGTGCTGAGTCTTGTGCCCTCTCTATTCTTTGGAGCTCCCTCTGATTTCAGAGTCTGGAAGAAGGACCAAGCTCCTCAATTAATCTTGAGATTTGTGAACTACATGGATGAAGTGTCGGTTTAAATACATTTCTTAAGGTGGTCCAACCTCTCTTCACACCTTTAAAATTCTCTTAGTGACAGGCTGTAATGCAATCTCACGTCACTGTTGGGTATTTGGTCATTCCAAAATAGTAATAAGATTTGGCATAATGTTCCTTTTACAATTTATTGTTAAAATAAATCAAAGGAAATCTAATTGGAAATTACCCTTCCTCCAGGGAGGAAAGTTTGTAGGGGAATGAACTCCACCAGACAGCCACAGTCTGTGAGGTCCTCAGCAGACAGCTCAGAGACATATCAGGAGGGATTGAAAAATATGGTGAATGTTTAAATTTAAAAACATTTATTATAGAAAAAAATCACATTGTCATTACTCCCCCTCAAAATCCCCCTCCTCGCTTTGCACACACCTACCCCACTGTTTTTGCCATTTTCTGGGCACTTCTGGAGTCCTCTTTCATGACTATCTCTAGTTGCACTGCCCTGGCTGCCTTGATGTCCTGAGTTGATTCAGGACGTTGACCTTTCGTGGTCATTTTAACTTTTGGGAAGAGTCACAGGCACATGGTGCCAGATCCAATTAATAAGGTGGATGAGGTCATACGGTGATTTTTTTTCAAGGCGGCCTTTCCTTTGAATGGTGCTCAGCATTGGCATTCACTATAGTTTTGATCATACCTTGTAAAGACACTCACAAAAGGGCACTTCCAGAATTGCTTCAGAAAGTGACAATAACGATGTGGTAGGTGTTAAAGACAGGGAATATTCTTGAGGAGAATTAATACAATGTGTCTTTTATGATAATAATTTTCTTAAATTCAAAGATTACCTGTATTTTTTATCACACCATGTACTGAGACTCTGGCTCAGACATCCCAGGGCAGCAGACGTGCCTGAGCCTGCTCATCACCATCACTGGCCTTCACGCCTCAATTTGCTAATTCACAAAGATTACGATTTTACTACTACATTTACATTTTTCTTAGGAGGAAGATGCGCAGTGATGAAAGTAGGGCTCTTGGTTCAATAGCTAGAATCAGGACTGTGTGCCGTTCCTTCTAGATTCATTAGCACTCTGATTTTGAAAAGATTAAAGATTTCTTAAGATCCAGGCTCACTAATCTGGGAAGATTTTATTTTAAAGGAAAAAAAATTAGCAAAATGGGAACTAAAGGAAGGTTTATAGCTTTGTCACATGGATGCAGGAAAGTCTCACCTTTTCAAAAGCTGCCTCTCTGTCGAGTCTCTCAAAGGTATGTTGCTGGTCTTCCGTGATCATGAGGCTGGTTTTCCCTGGGGAGCTCTCCTCCCTATGTTCAGGGGGCTCTTCTGGTTCCTGCACAATGGGGGAGCCTCCCCACTCACTGGACACTGGAGACTGGAGGTCCAGCCTCTCCTCCTCAGGAGGGGCCCTGATCTCCTTGGGGGTCTTGCTAGGAGAGCCTGGTGCTGCTGTGGCCTTCTGAGTCTCTGTCTTTTCTGTACCTGGGGTTGTCACACTGGAACAGAAAAGCCAAATTATACTTCACGGGCATTTGCATTTCTCCTCCTCTAGCAGGAAACTGAAAGGGAAGATGAAGTCCATCTTCATAGTTTCTGATAGTCATAGTTCAAATTTAGCCAAGGGAGAGATTGGAAAAAACATAACATTGCGATATACGGTACAGAGTTATAGCTCCCTGGTGTGGTACTGTATTAACAGTAACATCTTCCAAAGATGGATTAGTTTCCAAACTTTTACAAAGCATGTAAACTATTTCATGTTTTCTTTAATAATGTTACTATATTGAGGATTTGTGGAATTTTACATAACAAAGATTTATATAGATAAAGCTTTTGAAGAAAGAACTGAAATTTGGCAGAATTAAGTAAATCCCCACAGGAAGGTAGTTACCATAATTATAAATATAAGATTTTTATAGCATCTCTGAAAAACCGTTACTTAATAGAGGTATCTGTTACACTGAAATATTTTACTGGTAGAGTTTCGAATTTTTCCAATGCAACTTTCATAATCTCAATTTCTAAGTAAGGAAATTCTTTGCCTTTTTTGGTTTTTTGTATTGATTGCAATATTCTGTCATACCATCGATATTAAACACCTAAAGGGCCTCTCTGATAGCTTCCTTTCCTTCTCATCTCTCCCTCGTTCTTAATGGTCTTCCTAAAACCCACAGGTAGATGTGGGGAGGATGGCTCAGGAGACCCTTCCAGGGCCGTGTGAGCTCCTCGGGTTCCCGTGGCCACAGAACAAATCCACTTGATGACAAAGGAGACTCTGAGATGCAATATCACGACACACTATTCTCAGATTACAGAGCCGGGCACTTGTGCCTTTCTCATGATCTGCTCTTCTTCTGGATGACCGGTGTAGCTGAAGCAACTCTTCCTCCTTTGCTTCCACAGAGCCCAGAGCTAAACAGTGCTCTAGTTTCTTTCAGTTAGGAGCTAACCCCACCCCACTCCATTTTAATGCCCTTTTAGTCTGCAGGGATAATTATATATGTGTGTGTGTGTGTGTGTGTGTGTGTGTGTGTATGTGTGTATATATATATATACATATTCAACAAAATTATATATATAAAATTATAGCTAGCTAGCTAGCTAGATGGTGTGGTGTGGCCCAGGCCAGTGATCATCAGTTCTGCGATCTTGGA